TTTTTTTTCGTTTCGCACCTTTTGTTTGAAGCAGTTTTCTGTTTTTACAATGTAAAGGCGGAGTTCGATGCTTATCGGTTTGGAAACAAAATTTCATATTGGAATCTAAATACATCCTAAAAAAATACAATACTTCAGCTTTATATGTATTCTACACAGATATTCTTATGTCTCACACTTAGAATGAGAATTTTAGGGAAGCCACTGGTGTAACACTTCACAAGGAATCGCGATGGTACGCTGGATGGAAGAAATTTTCGGAAGAAAATGCATACTTTAACAGTACGTTTTCTTAACAATTTTTCAAAAATTGTATCCGACCTTGATCTTTTCTAAAACTTCACTTCTAGAACTTCTCGACTGGAAGATCAGATACGAGGAGAGCGATAATGTTGCTGTGCGAATAATGCGTGGTATTACGGAACGTGTCAGCAGTTTATTTGGTGCGCTTATTTCTTCTTTCAAGGTTGTCATTTTAGCTGTTTTTTGTTTAGGAACGCAAAACGAAGTATCGGAAGTACTAACGGAAATAGCAAAAGTTGACCCTTCATTTGATAAGGGCGAATGGTTGCGATTTTGTGAGAAAGACGTGATTCCAAATGTGCTCGAGGCATTTATACGAGGTGATTTGGAGGTGCTGCAGGACTGGTGCCACGAAAGAGTCAGTTTCTTTTTCCCAAGTATTTTGAATCAGCTGAACCAAATTGGCGACATTGGCAGAAAAGCTTCACTAATACGTGTGTTATCATCACTGCTTCCCGCAGAAGTTGCAAAAATTGGTTATAACAGAAAATTAGTCGTTATTGTTTAAGGCTTTCGTTGCGCTATCTACTATCATCAAAGAATATCAGAAAATCAAGTTCAACACCAGTGACTCGCGAATCATTGATATCAGCAAAGTGGAGGTTTGTTAGAAAATTATCTTTTTTCTTATCTGTTATCGAATCTATTTTCCTCATAAGCTGTAACATATTTATAAGCATTTTGGATGAGAACTTGTTTCTCAGAAATGTCTGATCCACTATCTGCTCATCGTGCAAAATATCTACATTTTTTT